TGAAAATACAAAATTTGTGTGTTATAATTGAGTTTGTTGAGTTATATTAGGAGTCTATTATGTTAATTGATTCACTTTCCGTTTAAAAACAGTGTAATCCCTTGTTTCACGCCGTGAATACAGTCGAATACAATAATATGTCCAGCTGTAATCCCATGTTTCACGTCATGAATACAGTCGAATACACTCGAATACAAAAATCTGTCTAGCTGTAATTCCCCGTTTTCACGCCTAGAAATGCTACTATATTCATGAATACAGTAGCTTAAATACATTGAATATACTCTAAAAATCTAAAAACATAGCTATTGAAAGTAATATAGTAAATGGTAGTTACAACTAGCTAATAACCACTAAAACATAATGGTTTGTGGAAGTTTCTCATTTTTATCTAAGGTGGATCAACATTAGTGGAGAGGGGCACAATTGGCCTATTTAGCTAACGATCCACATAATTATTCTATTTCCAATAGTTCACGAGCAAAATGGACTCTTTTCCCTTTGTTTCTTGACAAACAATTCTTATTTTTTTCTTTCACGAAAATTTGATGTGAGGGGATAGTAAATGAGGTAGGATAAAATTGTATTTGAAGCTGAGGCCTTATGTAGTATTTCTATATAGGAGAACGACCTTTCTCAACATGGTGTATAACACAAAAACCCTTTAAATATAAGATAGGGCCATTCACATGGCAAAAATGAATGAAAGGTTAAGTTGACTTAATTGAATTCTAATAAGAAAAAAAAATGAATGAAAGGTGACTTAATTGAATTGTAGTAATTCCTCAATCACGTGGCTAACCCACATTGGATATATTGTAAACATTAATCCCCTATTCCTTTTTTTTCGAGGACGGCAAGTGTAATTTTCATGGTGAATCCACTCTAATTATTTATTAAATTGAAATTTACCGAAACAAATGAAGACTTAAGCGTTCAGACATTCTAAAAACTGGACAACAATTAAACTTATAATGTAGTTTTAAGGACACATAATTTCAACAAATACTAATTGATAAATGTAAATATTAATAATAGAAATCAACACTAAGATAAAGCAAACCAGTACTGTTTGAACAAAATTCAGTCCTCGAACTTGAGTATCCTCGCGCTGATTTGTGCAAGAACAGTTAAAATATAACAAGTTGATGAACAAGTATATGAACTAAAGAAAAGACGTTATATTGCTTTGATATCTCAGAGTGTCCGATGTTCACAAAATGATCAGAACCCTCTTTATATAGTAGAGACATCCTATTTATGATACAATTCTAATTACGGAAGTAAATCTCATGATTAGCCTAAACAATCGCCCTTGATTTGATTTGTTCCGGGGTTTCCGCCGTGATCTTCGACCGGCCACGGATATCTCGCTTTTCCATTATTGCGTTTTGCTTGAAGTCTGCCATATTTGGTCTCGATCGCTACTGGCCTCGATCTCGACAGGCACCTCGATTCTCGAACTCGATACCTTGTCTTCGTGCTCTGGTCTGATCCACTACGAGGCTGACTTCGATGCAATTCCCTGGTCTCGATCAAATAGTAAAATCAGGTAGGTCCGATTTTAACCGTATACACGCATACATATTATTTGCAAATCGATATTTATTTTATAAGTGTTTGTCATTTATTTCTACTTCAACTTGAAACACTTCATCCCAAATTGAAAAACCAGTTTTAGAAATATTTCCATATGTTGGAAGTGAAGGAAAACGAGGGATATTAATAATTGAATTTAACACCTATATGTGAGAGTCACATTTATACAATTAAACACAGTCTCAGTTCCTCTTCACAGTTAAATGGAGCAGGATTTGACAGAGCTGCTTTCTTTAGATCAGGAGAAGCAAACTTCTTCTCATTCATCTTCATGATTCCAATTAAAAGTAGACCAAAGGGTGGCCACGTTACCATGCCTTTTATTATAGGTGCTATTTCTTGTTCTGTTTTATTTATTTTTTTACTTCCTTATTTCTGGGTATGCATGTTATTAATTTTCTTTTGTTTCTTGGTTTTATGTTAATAGCAAACGAGGCATTGGAGAAAGTGGCAAGCTATGGGCTTTTACCAAATATGACATTCTATTTGATGAATGATTATAGGATGGAGGTTACTACTGCTCAAAATTTACTGTTTTTCTGGTCAGCAGCTACAAATTTCTTGCCTTTAGTTGGTGCTTTTGTTGCTGATTCATATCTGGGTCGTTTCCTTGCCATTGGCCTTGGTTCCATCTTCAGTTTCCTGGTAATTTACATTTCGGTCTTGAACGTGAACTTATATTATAAGTTCAATCTTTAAGGTTCTTAGCAACCAACATATTATACTATTTTCTAAATCTTGCATGGCCTTCCACTGAAAGGGAAACAGTGTTCCAATAATTTCTAGGGGTATACGGTCCCTCAAGGCCATAATCACAAATTGTACACTACACATGCAGCAGTGGTCCTTTCTTCGAGCTTGTTTGGATAATTGTTACATGTTGTATTGTACCGTATTATTACTTTAAATAAAATATTTGTTTGATTGTTACTTAAATTTTATTGTATCGTATCGTTAAATCCATCGTTATGTAACGACGAAAAGTGTCACTCTATGGAACATCGTATATGGTGTGGTGGCGTCGTTTCCTTGCTTTTTTCTCTCATCTTGCCCTTCATATTTTATCATTTATTCTACTTTTTTCATATAATAATTCTACTCCGTATCCTATTTTTTCTTAGTAATGTTGCAAGTTTATTCTTCATATTATTGGTGTGTGATATTATAAAACCACGACAAACGATACAATCTATCCAAACGTTATATTCATCAAACAATACAATACAAAACGTTATATTATGAAACGAAATGTAACAATAATCCAAACAAGATGTTCTCGCTTTTGTTTCCCTTTTTCTTTCTCCCCCTTTAGTTTTCCCAATATTAGCAAAATGTAAAAGATGGGGTCAGCCATAAGACAAGACAATCATAGTTAATTTACCAACTTCAACACCTTAATGCCAAAGGCTAATCCAAGATTTAGATATAATGGTTCAAGTCCTTAGCATTTGAATATACTATACTTTTAAATCTGAGTATATTCATTGAAACTATAAGTTTTTCACATATATATCTATGTTCTTTGGTGGAAATACTGGGTTCAGTTAAACCAACTTTATTAGGCTGCATTTGCCTCCGCTTATGCTTGCACTCTTTGTTGCAGGCGATCAATTAGGGCAGGCTTGTAAATCTGCAACAGCTTCGCAATACATGCTCTTGGTCTTTTCATTTCTGCTCATGTCAATTGGTGCTGGTGGTATAAGACCATGTTCTTTAGCCTTTGGTGCTAACCAGTTTGACAAGAGAGATAATCCCAACAACCAAAGGGTGTTAGAAAGCTTCTTTGCCTGGTATTATGCTTCATACATAGTCTTTGTTCTGATTGCACGGACAGGTATCGTTTACCTTCAAGATAAGATGGGCTGGAAAATAGGTTTTGGAGTTCCTGCAATTCTCATGTTCTTATCCGCGCACTTTTTCTTCCTTGCTTCTCCGTTTTATATCAAGGAAAAGGTTCGCTCAAACTTGTTTGGCAGCTTTATTCAAGTAATGGTGGTTGCCTACAAGAATAGGAAACTCCCATACCCTACTCAGAATTCTGATTACCATCACAAGAATGGTTCAGAACTTCAAGTGCCAACGGAGAAACTGAGATTCTTAAACAAAGCTTGCATTATTAACAGCCCTGAAGATGTTAAGCCAAATGGAGTTTCAGTCAATTCATGGAACCTTTGTACAGTGGAGCAAGTTGAGGAGCTAAAAGCCCTCATTAGGATCATGCCATTGTGGTCGACGGGGATCATGATATCAATAAACTTGAGCCAAGTGTCATTCCCTTTGCTACAAGCTCAATCCATGGATAGACATCTAACGAAAAAATTTCAAATTCCAGCTGGCTCATTTGGTATTTTTCTTATGATCGCATTAACACTTTGGGTTTTTCTCTATGACCGTGTGATCCTTCCATTGGCATCGAAAATCAGAGGAAGAGCAGTTCGTCTAACACCTATAGTCAGAATGGGGATTGGTATATTCGTCTCTTGCATGTCTATGTTAGTCTCTGGTATCGTGGAACATGTTCGACGAAGAAGAGCAATAAGCCAAGGGCTCTTGAACAACCCCGAGGGGTTGGTGGAAATGTCAGCTATGTGGCTCATACTGCAAAATAGTTTAAATGGAATAGCAGAGGCATTCAGTGCAATCGGCCAGACAGAGTTCTATTATTCTGAGCTCCCGAGTAGTATGTCAAGTCTCGCATCTGCACTCTTAGGACTAGGAATGGCAGTGGCAAATCTATTAGCAATTGTTATCCTGAGTGCTGTGGATAAGTATACCAAAGGAGATGGGAAAGAGAGTTGGGTTTCAAGCAGTATCAACAAGGGTCACTATGAATATTACTACTGGCTTCTTGCTATTATGACATCTTTTAATCTGCTTTATTTTATGATTTGTAGCTGGGCATATGGACCTTGTGCTAACATTGACATCACTAAGAGAATGTTAGAGGTTAGTGATGATGATGATCTGCCACAGGAGAACGTACCTATTCTACAAGGAAAATGACAGTGAACATATTCAACTTTCATCTCACATAAGCAATGTAACATGTAATAAAATGACTGCGATTCAAAATTGAAGTTGGATTAAATTTTAATGAATTCAACTTTCAATAATATATAATATAGAGGTGATAGTCCACTTTCCGTTACGTAATAAAAGTTTTAAAAAAAGGTGTGTATAACACTCATTTTCTCCAACTCAATCATATAATTACCACATAAGTATTTATTTGCCTATTAATCATTTACTATATTCTTTCCTCTACCATCTTTACCTCCACCACTTTTCTTCTTATTGGAGGAGGTAGAAGGGGCGGGGTGGAGGGTGATAACTAGGGATTGTAGTTTATTTTACACTCCTTCTTACTTGAGTTTTGATTAAAAATATATACAAAATAATTTCAAAGGCTTATGTGTTGTACTTGTTTGTAGGGTTTGGTCAAAAAAGTGACAACTAGTCAAAACCAGCTCAAAAAGGAGTGAAACATGCACAAGTACCAAAAACAAGTCCAAGCATAGTGCAACAGGTCCACTGCGGCCGAATTCCATTTAGTGCGGTCCGCAGTGCGGAGATTCAGAGAGGTGCTTATTTCGGAAACTCAAGTAATGCGGCCGCAAAGCAGTTTGTGCGGACCGATGGCCTTACCACGACCGCAATCGAGATTATGCGATCCGCAAAGAAGGAGTTCAGAGAGTTGGAAGTTTTGAGGAAATAGCCAATGCGGTCGGCGGTCCTTTTTGTGCGGACCGCAGAAGAAGCCACCGCGGCCGCAGTGGCCAAGTTCAGAGAGCAGAGATTTAATGCCAAGAAGCCTCACCGTGGCCGCACTCGATTTTGTGCGGATCGCACTACCCCTGCATGGATATTTTTGTCCAGAAAATTCGGCCTAGTATAAATACTTTCTTTTCCCATTTTTAGGTCATGAGTTGTAATTTGACTTTGAACTGCGCTCGTGAACATTAGTTTTTGACCATTTTGAGTAATTTGTAGCTTACTTTAACAATGAAGTTTCTTTATCTTAGTTTGTAATTAAATCTTATGGGTTTTTCTTCATCTATTTCTTTGTTTTCTTCCATTATTATGAGTAGCTAGACCCATTAGCTAGGGTTGTGGCTCAACCCTAGTGTTGTTATTTGATGGGCCTTGAGTTTTAAGGCTTGAATGTCTACAGGTGTTTGATATTTGGACTAATTTGTGTTTTCCATGTTGAATTAGTGGTTGCAAACACTAATTTGTGCCTATTTGACTTGGGTTCTTCTTGAGAAAGAGAACTTGAGTCTAGGAAAATTAGTCCAACACGGAATTGTAGCGTATTCAAGAGATTGATAGCCTCAATTAAAGGGTTAAATCTAGAGATAGTAATATCCGACTTGAACCTAAATTACTTGCACAAGTTATCATACCCAATTGGTCTTGAGAAAGTCAATTAGGGCAAAATCACTCAAACTACCGACAGGTATAGAGTGAGAAGTTTCGTGCATTAGTTGTATCGTAATCCCCAACATGATAATCTTGCCTTATACTCGAGAACCCGTCAAGTATCCACCTAGGAGAAAGTCACTTCCCTAGTGCCTCATTAACTATTTAGACATCCTTTCAAGTATCTTACTCTTAGCTTAATTTAGCATCTTATCAGCATAAGATTAGAAGTAATATCAAAACCAATGATGTTTGGAAGAGTAATTAAGAGCAATTACACATCTCTAGTTTAGATAGGAACCCAATTCCCATTTCTAGCTCTCTGTGGAATTCGATCCCGACCATCTCGGGTAAAAGCTACTTCGACCACTCTCGCTACTTTGTAGTGGTGCAGGGTTGGCTCCGATCACTTTTTGGCGCCGTTGCTGGGGAGCTAATAGTTTTGGCTATCTATCTAAATAGTTTTGTGTATTGTTCTTCTTTCCTTCTATGTTACTAATTTGTGTGTGTCACAACTTCAGGTACAAAATGGCAGCAAACAACGCACCTCTTGGAGATCTTCCACCGGGGGAGGAGGTAGATGACAATATTGATGAGGAGGTTCCTATTGTTCCTCAAGGACAAAGGAGAGGCCGCCAGGCCAATGATAATATTCCAGACCCTCCCCTGCCACCTCCAAGAGTGGCTCATCGGGTGCTTCCCAACCAAGGATATGCTAGTGCAATTGTCCCACCCCGGATCCGGGCGGGCAATTTTCAAATTACAAATTTGATGCTGACATTGCTGGAGCAGCGTGGGTATTTCACGAGCGCTGCCAATCAGAATGCATACAAACATCTCAAGGGTTTCGTGAATACCTGTTGGGGGAGCAAGCAAACTAATGTGTCCGAGGATGTACTTCAGTTGAGACTATTCCCTTTCTCACTTAGAGGGAAGGCATTGAATTGGCTTGAACGACTTCCCAACCATTCCATCACTACTTGGGATGAGTTGGTGGATAAATTCATTGCAAAGCTTTTCTCGCTGGGGCACATGACATCATTGAGAGATAAGATCTTAGCTTTCAAGCAGGAGCCCACCGAACCATTACATGAGATTTGGGATCGATATAGAACCATGGTAAAGAAATATCCCAACAATGATATGACTGAGACAATGATACAACAGACTTTTTATCGGGACATTAACACAAAAAATCAGTGCATAGTGAACCAACTTGCTGGGGGTAATTTCATGAAGCTGTCTTATGATGAGGCTTGTTACATTCTTGACGAGATGACTGACACGTCCTCCACTTGGCAAAGTAGAGCTAATGTGCCACAGGGTGACCCCACGGTCACTCACTTGCAAAAAGAGCTACATGATCATGGGCAGGCTATAGAAGAGCTGACAACAACAATGAACCAGCTAGCGAAGGTGATAACTAGGGATTTTGACACATTTTATGCTCCTTCTTGCTTGCGCTTTGATTATAAATTCATACAAAATAGTCTCAAAAGGCTCATAAGTTGTGTTTGATTGCAGGTTTGATCAACAAAGTGACAAAATGTCAAAGATCAACTCAAAAGGAGTGAAACTTGCACAAGTACCAAAGACAAGACAAACTCAGGACAAACAGGACTAGTGCGGCCGCAATACACTTTGTGCGATCCGCACTAGGGAGATTCAGAGACCTGGAATTGAAAGCTTCAAAGCAGTGCAACCATAGTAGATATTGTGCGGCCAGCACTGAAGACACCGCTGCCGCACCACCATTTCATGCGGTCCGCAAAAGCAATATTCAGAGAGATGTCAAGTGCCAGGGTTCAAGCCTGTGCGGTCCCTAGTCCATTCTGCGCGGACTGTATTGGAAGCCTCCGCGACCGTGGTCCATTCTGTGCGGTCTGTGGAGCCTGGGTTAAGAGAGTTGGAATTGCAGAGTCAAGAGCCTAATGTGGTCGCACACCATTTTGTGCGGTCCGCACTCACCCCGTAGGGGCATTTTTGTCCAGTTTTTCCAGCTTAGTATAAATAGAACCTTTTTCCATTTTTAGGGTATCAAATATTATCATATATTAGCTGCGCTCGTGAGAAGACCATCTGTAGCCATTTTGGGCATTTTAACTTAGTTTTAACGATAAAATCTCTGTATTTACTTTAGTGTTTAATTAATATGCCTTTATATTCATCTATTTCTCTGTTCTTCTCTTCAAGCATGAGTAGCTAAACCCATTAGCTAGGGTTGTGGCTCAACCCTAGTGTGGGTAATTGATGGGTATTGTGATTTAGGGCTAGATTGACTATGGGTGTTTGTTATTTGGGTCAATTTTATGGTTTAATTTATGAATTAGTGGTTGCAAACATTGGTTTGTGCTAAGTTGACTTGGCTCTTCTTGAGAAAGAAAGCCTAAGTCTTCAAAATTGACCCAACAAGGAATTGGGATGGACTCAAGAGAATTGATAGTCCCAATTAAAGGGTTAAACCTCGAGAGAGTAATTACCCGACTTAACCCTAGTTGCTTGAGCAAATTTGCCTACCTATTTGGTCTTGAGAAAGTCAATTGGGCAAAATCACTCTCTCTACCGAGAGGTGTGAGAGTGGGTAAAATCGTGCAACGGTTATAGCATATTTCTCCAATCATGTCAATCGTGCCTTAAAAGCAATTACCCGTCAATTAGCCACCTAGGTGAAAGTCACTACCCTAGTGCCTTTTTATCCATTAGATGCAACTTTTAGAAATTCTCGTTTAGCATAATCTAGTTGCATTAAAGAAAAAAAGAAAAAATGATTGGAAGCGATATTTGGAACAAATACACAATTCCACTCTAAATAGATACTCGACTCCATTCCTAGATCCCTATGGAAATCAATCCCGACCCACATATCGGGTAAAAGCTATTGCAACCCTCTCTTCCTACTTTTTAGTACTGTGGAGTAGGCCGTGATTACTTTATGGCGCTGTTGTCGGGGAGCTAACGGTTTTGGCTATCTATTTAGTTATTTTTGTGTATTGTTCTTCTTTCCTTCTTTGTTACTTACTTGTTTGTGTCACTACTCAGGTACCAACATGGCTTTAAACAACGCTAATGACCCCCTTGGAAACGTGATAGCGGGGGAGGAGGTAGATGATCTTGAGCAAGATGAGGTGCCTCTTGCACCTCAAGGTCAATGCAGAAGTCGGAATGCCAATGCTAATACAATTGACAATATTCCAGACCCTCCCCCGGTTCCTCCAANCAGTTGCAACAAGTTCAGAATCCTCGCCAAGTGAATGCCATGGAGGGTGTTAGTATGCTTGTCAACAAGAGAAGGCAAATGAGGCAACAAAATCAAGGAAATTCTGAGCAATTTGTTGATGAATATGATGGGTGTCAAAATGATGGTTATAAAGACCAAAGTGAAGAGGTACAATATGTCAACAACTATTAAGGTAATAGAGGCAACTCTTCAAACCAGCAATGGCGACCCCAAGAAAATTGGGGCAATCAACAACAAGGTGGTGGCAATTGGAACAACAACAACCAAAACAACAATTGGGGTAGTCAGAACAATAACCAAGGAAAATGGAATAGAAATAACAACAATTGGGGCAACAACAACAATT